CTAGAATTAATGACAGGAATCAAAAGCCTTTACAGGGATGTTAGGGCATGAAGTGCCTGACTGAGTGAGGTCTTGAAAAGACATTAAGCTATTAGCATTTGGTAGAATTAACCAGTACAACAGGAAAATTTACCTGTATACCCTTGCTAACATAAAAGCTAGGAATTGAGATGAAAAAATAACACTAGCCACTGTCTTAAAGTGATCTTAAACAGGTTAATATATTATCAGAAAGATTTCCCTCCAAACTTTCACCACCCAGATGTTAATAAGGACAATAAAAAATTATGTCTTGTGTGAATGGCAGGTTTTCTTTTGAACCAAAACACACAGTTGAACTACTTCACAAGGTTAAAGGCTGGTTATTCAGAGACGGAAGTTTAGTTTGAGAATTAGAAGTCAGGCATGGGGTTAGTGTCTGAGTGGATGAACTAGTGTCTGACTGGTGCCAGAGGAGAGAGATGGATTAGCAGCAGGCAGCATGTGTAGAAACAATATAAGCATGAGAATAATTATGTGAAACACCTGTGTAGGGGTCCTTTAAAACCACATTCATCTGGTCAAAACAAATACAAACCATTACGAACCAGAATCTAATCTTAGAAAGAGGACACACTGGCTGCTACTCTGTTGTCAGAGAAACCAGCACTTCAAGCACTTGTTTCCCTAATATCTGATGATAAAGTAAGGTCATTTTATGATTTAATTCAGTTGATATCTTACATATTGCTCCTTTAACGTTGTACTGGGTTGGATGATCTGGCATGAAATAACTGAAGAACCAGGTTATATTTGCACTTTAGAGGAACAGGTGAGCAGGATGAACCAATCAGGAGTGATTCACAATGTCTACATCCAGATCTGATTCTTTTTATACTGAATCCCAGGTATTCTTTTTACTTTATAAAACAGAGAAAACAATGAAAAACTAGTGTATAATTTCAAAATAATATGTCCCTCTATTTATAATTGTAAAAGTGTATAAGACCATTATACCGCTGTGACCAATAAGCCAGTGTAAAAACTGTGATCTGTAATTTATGGTGCTATAGATCTCAACAGTGTAGTTCTGGAAGTAAACATCCCATTCACTTTCTCCATAGTGGGTTGAGTATTGACCATATTGTAGACTACAAAGACCTGAGTGTGAAACAGTTGTTTATGTGTGAATGGAGGAAGGTCAATGGAGAATTTGGATGGGTTTATCTACTCCTGGAACCAGAGCAGCCGACAAACTGGGCAGTCACTGTTGAGCTCTATGGTTCCTGCAGGTGGATGCTGGTTGTTAAAAGCAAGAGTGCAGTATGGTGCAGGGAAGAGGTGGCAATGATTTAAATAAAAGGCCAATTTTGGAGAATGTGTGGAATGCATGTCAGTGTGCCATTAGTTCAGCTCACGATGCCTGAACGAGCTCACAGGTGTTGCCTCATTTCTTTTACTTTGCCATCAGCATGGTCTCTCTGACTGAATACAAGGGCTTTGTTGACACCAGCCAAGTTACAGTAAATATGGTTTCTACACCTACATAAGGCTGGCTCAAAGAAAATGACAAAAAACCTTACTCTGTAGAGTACAATTCTCTCATCTTAAGGAGCAATATAACCTCCTTATAGAGTCCAACAGTTAAATAAAATAGCACAGACTATTTTGGAACATAATGGAGCAGAGAGAAGTGTGTTTTAGGTCTCTTTAGTGGTATTTAAAGTAATGAGGCTAACCATTAGCGACTATGTGAGAATTGCCTTCTTAGAGGCTTCATTGCAGGCCATATACCTTTTTTTATTTTGTAATGAGCATTTGTTTAGATAAGGCTGTTAAAAATGTTCCCCTTTCTTTCTTTTAAAAACCCAAACCAAAACTCAATAGCCAAGCTTTCATCACACAGAGACATTAAAGTCCTCCCTTTTTTACTTTGCGCTTGAAAACATTTTACTTCCACATGTTGACCCTTCAGTGGTAAAACACAGAATGCAGCATTTTACTACAGTTTTTGGTATCATCATAATCATCACCATCTTAGTTTATAGCTCCATATTATAACTTAAACTGATTTTAAAAAAAGGTAATATTTTGGTTAATGACAGATGTCTGTTCCATTAAGCTGAATGTTGATGTTGAGTCTGTATCCGTGCACAAGTGCCCTACATGCTGCCTTTTATCTTTGGCTTGCTGCATGTGACTTTAAATTCTCATCTTTCAACATTATGACCTCTGTAATCATTTTCATGTTTTTAGGATCAAAATCTCTATTTTTTGAAGTGCCATTAAATACAGCATGATGTTCCTTTTGTAGATGATTTTTCATTCAGAGGAAAATAGACGATAAAGCGAAATATTCTTAATAGGGTGGGAATTGGTGATAGACATTTCATTAGCATGGCAGCCTGTCAACTAGGATTGCTACCAGATATGGTTCCAAAGAAATGGTTGGCATTGCCATGGGTATGTTTACTTTTATACAGTTTTTGGTTTGTATTGATTAGTTCTGAAAAGGTAGTTACAATTTTGTCTGAATTTTCTGTTACAAAGTCAGTTTCACATTGAAAATGTTGTGTTGGAACATTAGACATGCAAATGACCAGCTTGATAGAATGAGACAAATTAATTAGGATCTTTGTTGCCCTGGCTATTTGTTTGACAAGTGATTCATGCCTGAGCAAACAGAACTGTTCTCAGTGTTTGACGTCATTGAGTACATAATTGCATGGGTGCAGGTGGCCTAATGGTTTGTTGGCATACGTGTACAGAAGCTGTACTCCTGGAAGCTGGCAGATGGGGTTGAAATCTGAACTGTGGCTCCTGTCCCACATGTCATTCCCCACTCTCTCTCTCTCCTGGGTTTATCACTCTATCCACTCTCCTGTCTCTCCAATAGAGGAATAAAAAATACATCTTAAAAAACAACAACATAATTGCAGATAAACAGAAGGCACTTTGGCACTGCAGCACTTTTCCATGCTTCATACTGTATGGCAGCTCTATGGGAGGTGTGTGGACGTGATGTGTGTGTGTTCAGGCAGGAGAGGGCAGCAGACGTTCGGGCTGAGAGCAGGCTGTTTGTTTCATGTCTCTCATCTCCAAATCCAGGGAGGGGCTCATTAAGTCTGGCTCCCCGTCTCTGCCTGATGAATTCTTTATCAAAACAGTATGTTCACCCTGTGCCCCTACAAAGATATCATATTAAAGTTCAATTAACTGGGGCTTGATGATCTCAATGAGATGATCTTTTATAGCTAAAAGCTCCCTCCCTGCATGGTCCGAGAGGCCTTCCACAGAGATGGTGCGCATGGAAACACAGAGGAAGGAACATCCACCAGTGATAGTCAGAGAGTCAGGAGCAGCTTTCGCCTCTGGGTCATGCGGGGCCCTCTTGAGTCGGGGAATAAAATCTGTTGTTTAACCAGCCTTTATTGGAATCCACATTCTACCAAAATGTTCAAGATCAGGGACAAACAGAAAGCTGCAGCGGTGGTGCATGAGCCAGTAATGAGCTGACAGTGAGGCTATGAGAGTGTGTGATTCTCATGTGTGTGTGTGTGTGTGTGTGTGTGTGTGTGTGTGTGTGTGTGTGTGATAGAGAGAGCTCCTCTCCTCTCTTTAATACACACAGTGACGTGTCCCGCCCCCCATCTTTTCCTGTATGTGCCTGTTCCTTTGACAATCTTCATCTGCAGTATGTTACATAAAGTTTTCCAAAAGGCACAACTCCCATTTTAGAAAGTTTCTTGCAGGATTCTGTTGCACCATATTCAGAGCAAGGAGGGACTTTAGCGGGCGTCTTTTCTCTCTTGGCTTACTTCCACCTGCAGAGCACGTGTGCAGGGTAGAGAACAGCAGCTGCAGTTCATCGATCATATACAGATAAAATGCTTCATTGTCTTTAAGTTGGCTTCAAAATCACCTCAGATGTAGGTTAACTTTACCTAATGTCGAGCCTCTTCTTTGTAGATGATCACCCTGTCTCCCCCTGGCAATGAAGTTATGAGCAGTGTTGGGAATGATGGGATTGACACTACTATTTGCAGTTACTAGTTTTGTATTTAGTTACTTTTTAAATTCAATAAATCTGTTACAATAACAGCAATTTTAAAAGCACTTGTTTCTCTTTACTTTATACGTGAACTAGCCGACAACAACATGAGATTAAGGTTTATTGACATCCAGTCAGCAGGTGAGGTCAAGCTAACATCAGCAGAGTAAACACACACACAGGCTGATGATCATTCATGCATGAGCTTCTTGTTTTAGAAATAGCATCATTATTTGTCCATGCTTGAGTTTAACAACAAGAATATAGTGATGTTATAATCTATGGGTGGAAAGAAAACTTTTTTTCCACCGCCGAGAGTATAGCTTCTACTAAAGTCGCTGTCAGAGAGCTCGGTGCTGCCAATAGGGGAGAAGCCCCTCCATCCAAAAGAGACCAGTCTTCATTTTCAATAACCGCTTGAACAGACTGAAAGACAGATGTGTTGTTGACGACATGCTTCATATCAACTGTTGAGTCTGTCGCCTTCAGAGAACTAATCAGTAAAATATCTACATATTGAAAATGGCTACAATGTGATATTTGACACTCACACTGCCACAGCTAAACTGACATGAATATCAAACCACAAAGAAGTAACACTAAGGTTACTTTCTCCTTCTTTATTTGAAAATTGTAATCCAGCTTCTATTGAGAACAATTGACTAAAATATTGTTTGTTCTTATGTTTAAATGACTGCGCTGTTGGAGCCAATTAATTATCCTTCCCTTCTGAGTCAAAGCCAAGATGGCGACTATTGAGGGTGAAAAGTACCCGGCGTTCTGCACTCAACATCTTCACCTTTATTGTTAACCATCTATAATATTCTGCACTATAGGATAACGCAACTAAACAAAATAATAACTGTCCACTGTCGCTGGTTGATTGGACAAACTGACGTAGCAGTTTTAGTTTCATATCATGTTGCTACTTTAGAAATCGAACAGAATGGAAAGAAGCTCAAGTACACACTTTTGTCATTTTAGAAATGTTATTGTCAGCCAGTTACAAATTGTGCAGTAGTGATGAATCAATGTGGCTTTTACGCACGTACACACACACACTAGACAGTAGATCCTGTTTCACACAAACACATTCATAATCAATACTCGGACCATACTGTGTTATTGGTACCCTGTCTATAACTTGTGTTTCTTTCACATGTGAATCATATGGATTTTGTTGAATATATTGAAAATGAACTGTCCGCTGCTTTTCTTGAACTCTGCTGGATTTATTGTAAAGGTTGCAGAGATGAGAAGAGAGACAGCAGTATCTCCTGAATGTTGACTTATTGTTGATGCCTAACATTCACATTTGGAAGGACTAAAGCAAGGACAGTCAACAGCTGTAACCCCCCCACCCCCTAAAGAAACAAGTTCCTAAATGTACACCAATAGAGAAATGCAGTTGAAAGAAAACAAAGCCAGACACCAAGTTTGAACTGAGAAGAAAATGATCGAAGAAAACTAATCATTGCACAGTTTCTTCAAACTAAATATAGTCCCGTTGGGTTTTGCAGATGTGGTTTTTACAAGTCCTTATTGCAATCACCTGGAGAGGAAACACATGCAATGAGTTACCTGCATGTAATCCAACAACATGCTTTAACATACTTAGGACTCTGTCACTATTAGAGCTTTTTCAGGAAAAACAACATTTTATTTTTATCACCAAAGAAACTCTATTCTACATGTTTCTATGTGCATTCAATACAAAAGAGACAAACAGTCAACACAGAGTATTGAAATGTAGCTTACTCTTTGCAGGGCGTGGTGTATTCAGTGACCGCCTCATCACCTGAAAAATAAAATAACACATCAGACACACCATAATATGAAACATCAGCTGTTTGCGCATTTTCAAGAATCTACTGGATTTCAAATGTATCACATCAGTTACATTTAGATATTGTACAGAAGAAAATATTTAGTATTTGGATCAAACCAGAGACTTCTTATAAAAAGATAGACAACCTGACGGCTCCCCATAATGACAGGCTGCAGTACATAGTCATAAAGCCAGCCTCCTCCATGTTAACAGATGAGTCAAGCATAAACCCATAATAAATGGTAAACCTGACTTCAAACTAGTTTTCCTTTTTAATATTCCTGGCTCGGAGCACAGTTATGTTTGCTGCCATGTCTGTGAGCCCTGAAAGCATGCAACATCCGCTTGCTGACGCTTCCCAGTCTGCTCGCTCTCAACTGGCTACTGCGATTTTCCGTTGAAGGCAACCCAAACTAGGATTTGAGATGGAGGCGGCGCCGACTTAAACGGGAGCAGTAAAATAATTGTATATACAGCACACACTTAGGCAGTTGTGACAACCCAAAATCAGACTCCACATGATGTCACCAGTGGCTTCAGGAGGTGGAGATGTATCGTCAAACCAAACACATTTGATCATACCCCCGGGTCATTAGCAGTATATTTACCTATAGCAAAATAAAGGAAACTTAACATAAGACACAAAGAAGAACAGGTTATAAGAGGCTCTTACTTGTCTGGTAATAGTCAAAGACTTTGACCACAGCAGGCTTCAGGTCCTTGACAGGCTGATCTTGCTGCATGAGAACAATGTACAGCCTTTCTTCCCCCTGCATCATCTGCAACATGAAACACACATTGTGTCATTCTATGTTCTTTCTTCATTTGAAGGCTCACAGGATTGGAAACTTGGAGAGGAGTATGTGACACAATGGCAGATTGCTTTTATCATTCCTACCACAACATTACATTTTGGATGATTTTGGCACCTCTCATCTCTTGGCTGATCTTGTCATGAAATGTAGGTAGTGTTATCAGTAAAAAAAAAACCATCCAGTTTTCTTTTAACAGTCATATGTCTCACTTATTGTGACTATTTAAAGACAATGCCCACCTCACTTGATGCCCAACCTTATTCTGTACATTGAAGTTGTCAATTCCATTTATGTTCTTTTTCATAACCATTGAAAACCCGGTAACAGGTTCTTAAATAAAGTCAATCCAGTGACATTTCTTATCCTAAACTGAAATGCAACTGAAAGTTATTTTTGGGGCTTTTTGGCTTTTTTTTTAAATAATTTTTTTTAGATAGGACAGCTGAAGAGAGACAGGAAATGTTGGGAGGGAGAGCGGGGGACGACATGCAGCAAAGGGAAGAGGTCAGATGCTGATTTATGCAGAAATCCTTCAAACTTAAAAGATTCAAGTAGATGACTTCTGTAATGCTCACTTCCTGTTCATCGTTCACTGGTGATGTAGACTTAGCAAACTGTTGTTCACCAATTAGTCTGGTTTTGTTTGAGCCTCTTAACACTGTTGGTAAGGGCTTGCTCATGGTGGGTTAATGATAGCTCTCTCCAAATAATATACCAAGAAGAAGAGTCTAGACCTGATCTTTCTGTAGTGTACTGAGATTACTTTTGTTTGGGGCTTGGAGTTTTAGAAATGAAGATTGATTGATTAAGATGTACGTTTAAAGATCACAGCTTGATCCAAAGCTTGCATTAAGAAAGAGTTGCAAGTGTTCTCGCTCAACATGTTTATTTAGAGTGAACTATGAAGAGTTTCAATGACCAAACTAAATGCAAACTGTATGAAGAGTTTTTAAAAATCAGCTTCATTGTTGGACAATTTCCGCACGTCGTTTAAAAGAGCTGGAACGCCCGTTGAGCACTATTTCACTATCGTCAAACACACTGTCAGTGCTTCCTACCCCGTCCACGTAGATGATGAGGTGTCCGGCCTCCACCTCCACACGCTTCACCAAGGGATTGTCCTTTAGCTGCAAAAGCACAGTCTTCAATTAGTGAACTCAAACATTCAAGTAAATGATGAGAGCTGAGCTTCATCAGTCTACTGTTATAGTGACAGAAGTGTTTTTATATTGTGCAGCTGTAGAAGAACTGACCAGCTGCACAGAGCTCTCCTCCACAATGTATCCTGACAGCAGTTTGATGTTGATGATCACCATATTTGTTTCCTCTCTTGGGCCCTGGTACCTTCACACACAAACACACAAACCAAGTCAGACACCTTGAAATGATTTACCGTCACATGTGACTTTATTTGCATGTCATGTGACCTATGTTTGTATAGGTGTCATATTACAATCTTTCAAGCCAGTGAGAGTCTCCATTGAAGTTTAGTCGTCATCAACCAATACTATGAACAATAACCTAATTTTTGATTTCACTCATCAAAAATAGTCAGACACACGCCCATAATCACACAAAAAGAGTACCTGACGAGTACGAAGAGGAGCTGAGGCTGCTGCATGTCACACATGCCCAGCAGGGTGGCGGTGATGTTGAACGAGGAGGTGTCGGGGGGAGGGGGGATGTTATAAAACATTGAGATCTGAGGAGAGTCACAAAAAAAATGACAATGAAAATAATTTGGTTAAGGAATGTCAGAGCAGCAATAGCTATTTATTTTTTCATCTGCATCAGTCCCTATTTGTCTTTTTGCACATTTGTCAACAAACTGATACCAATACATTTATAACACTGGTTGATAATATCCAGCTGATGTTTGTTTTCGTGCTTGAAATTATTTTTAGCATTACTTTAAAATCAGCATTTACTTGTGTAAATCAGTGTACTTCTTGTGATGAACGATACAACAGAAAACTCAAAGTACTTGGTCTTTTTTTCGATTCTCCAAAACAAAAAAACGCCAAACAGAATTTACATTTTTAGACACTTCAAATCCATTATTACCCCTTTAACACAACATTCAAAGACATATTTCTTTACACTTTAATATCTTTATAAATATTGGCCCAATCCATTTTCATCCTGCACCTTCCTCACCATTGTCACAGCTTTGCTCCTCTTCTCACCTGCTGCCTTCACACAGTCACTCTTTACTTTTCCACTCTGCCTGCCAGCCACGCCCAGTTCATCTGCCAACTCAACTCACCTGTCACACAGCTGCCTCTCATCTGCAATCAAGTCAGTATAAAAGCCTCTGGTGTTCATGCAGACTCTGCCAGATTGTTCTTTTGCTTCAGGCAAGACTTTCCAGCACGGTGCCTGGGCTTCAGTACCTGCTACTGACTCTGCCTGCCTCCACCTGTCCCCCACCTGTCCCCCACCTGTCCCCTGTTAGATTGTTTGTTACTACAGAATGCTTTCCTGCTGTCTCATAGACCATGTCCTCAGTCTGCTCCCCGTTACTGTTGCGCTCTGTTGAACTTTTCTGTGAGAGTTTCTCTGTTTCCTCTGGGTCTCATGCTCATCTGTATGTGGATCAGATCACAGCAGCCAGAGCTCCTGGACATTTACAGAGACTACAACAGTTTTGAGCCTTTAGATTGAAATGAACTGTACTAACATATACATGTGTGACTCTTTATCAGTCATTCATTTAAGCAAAGAGCATTGTCCAGTGCAAGTCAGGTGTTTTTGGATGCTGCATTTTGGGTGCCAACACCACCTGTTACAAGCATTCTGTAAAGCTGTTTCACATCACTTGTAGTATATATTTTATGATATTTTTTGTTTATCAATAGTAGTATTTCTTAGTCTGAACATAATTGGCCATAGATACAGATCTGAATGTGTTCTCTTTCACCCCTGAGCTGCCTCAGTCGTTCCTTCACTGTTACAGTTCTGTCACACATTCTGCTTTTCTTTTCTGATCGTTTTTTTGGGCTCGTCCCGTTGCTGATTTACCTGAACCAGCGCGCAGCCTTCTCCCTTGGCCCTCACCGCATACTTTCCGGGCACGTCGCTCAGCTCTTCCTCCTGGTACAGCAGCCTGTTGCTCTCGTCCACTGTGAACTTTTTCAGCTGGCCTTTCGGGGAGCTCACTGTCACTGCGACGGTGCCCTCCTTGCTGTAGGTGGCAGCAGCATACTTAGCCAGAGCCTGGAGGGCCACCACGGTGTCCTGACGAGCAGAGAGGAGAGAGGCATCGTCAGAAAAATCTTTTGGGTGGGGGGGAGGGATAAAAAGGCTTCTCATAAACTCTCTTCACAACATTTTTAAGGAGGTGCTCATGTGTGAGCATGAAAAGCCGAAGTTTTTTATACCAGTATGTTCTCTTCAGATATATAGTTGATACTGTGCATGTGTAAAACTACATGGAGCACTGATTTTTTGGTGTCTTCTTACATCACTTCCTGCCTCCTGAGACCACGCTCCCCGTCCCCTCCAACACATCTCCCGCTGTCATGTGCATGTGTAAAAAAGCAACCCAGGAAGAGCCTGCCTGACATTTATTAGGAGAGTAGCACTAACTATAGAATAGGAGCGCCTCTGTGTGTCTGCTCTACCTGTGTGGAGGAGAAGCCGCCCTGCGGGTTCTGCTGTTTAATAATCCAGCGGACGATGCTGGAGGCGTAACCCAGATTGAAGTCCAGCAGGGTGGGACCAGAGAGCAGAGCCAGGAGAAAGTAGGAGGTCATCTCCACCTCCAGAGAGTCCAGATGCGTTGTTGGAGCCCCAACTCTGACCAGGTGACGCGTGCCTCCTGCCAGATAGAACAAACCAGGCTCATGAGGTTAGCAGCGGCTAACGCTGTGTGGTCCACTTTAATATATACAGACATGCAGCTAAAGAAAAGACCACATGAAATTAGAAATACATTTTCCTGCTTTTAATCCAGAGTTCCTGTGTTAAATGTTAATTCATTCATCAAACATATTTACAAAAAAAAGTATCGGAGTATTTTTAATTGACAAAAAACTGTATTTTCTCTTCCTTTAAAAGATTTAAAGGTCCCATATTATGCTTTTTCTGGTTTTATATGCTCTTCAGTGTGTTTTCCAAGTGTCCTGTGCATGTTTAGGCACATCTATGTGCAAAAATTCAAAGTCTGTGTAAACGCGGCTTCTCCTACGTCCTCCTGTTAGCTGTAGCATTAGCTGCATGTAACACTCGGTTATTTGTCAGTGTGACGTCATTGTCAGTGTGAGATCACTGATCTAAGCCCATTGGCTCGTTGTGGCAAGCCCAGCAACTCATGTTGCACGCCCGTTAACTTCTGTAGCACGCCCACGATATGCCGTAGCCTGCGGTAGCACAGTAGTGATAAGGTGCTAATGTTTTTGCTCCCCGGCCCTCGGAGCCAGAGTGGCTGAGCGACTGACCAATTACAGCAGAGCCGACTGGCCGACCAATCAGATCAGACTTGGCACACGTGGGGACTCTGAACGTGGACACTTCAGAGCCTTAGAGAGAGTCAGAAGCGAGCCGGTGCATGGAGCGGCAGTTCATGAAAACAGACACTTTATTTTAACTTTAGCTATTTACTTGTACTATGTACTTTGGTACGTACATAGATTAAATAAACAATCCCCAAAAAGGGCATAATATGACCTCTTTAAAATGTCTGATGACTCATCCTGCACTAAGGGGTGTCTACATATTTTTCAGCCAATTAAAAAGCTTTGTGAAAGCTAACTAATCCAATAAAATTCCTCCCAACGTTAGGTCCCGCCTTGTGTCTTGTGATTGGTTCTATCCTATCTAACGTGTTTCATTTGGAGTTACGTCATGACGTTTTAATTTACATAAAACCAATCACAAATGAAACATGGGATGAAAAGTCTTAAACTAACTCTGACCTTTCTCAGCATAGGTATTACTGCTAAAGCTCCAATTAAAGCCTTTTTATTTTTGTATGTTTTCTGCATGCTTTCTACTGTATGTTCCTGAAACACTTCAACAGAAAGAAAGACTGTTGTTTTTCTTCTTTTTTAATAAGACTTTTCCTGTTTATTTCTTTTATTTTTTGGGTTCATGATGCTCACTGACAGCAGCATGTGTTGTCTGGGACATGCAGGTGATGTTGATGGTTTCACTGTCTCACCTGCTGCTTCTGACTTCAGGTGGAGCTCTGTGAGGAGTTTCATCCTCATGGCTTCGTCATTAGCCAGAGTGAAGGTGTAGGACAGCAGGGCGGTGGTGTACAGGTTGTTCACCGTGCCGTTCAGCGCACTCTTCAGACAGAGCAGACCGTTCAGCACAGCGGGGTCCTGAAACACCAAAGGAAATGGGACAATGTACAGGGCAATATGCAGACATCTATGTTTGCACAATTATTTAATCAGATTTTTCAGGGATTTCCAACGAGTTTGACAAAACAGGTGATTAGAGTCTCTGATGAAAATGGCGGTCTGAGGGGACATGATGTCAGACTCACTGTGACATCATTGTCCAGCTCCAACATGGCAGCAACGATGTAAGCCGTCAGAGTCACATCGTCACTCACTCCGCCCTGATGGAAAATGACATTGGATACACTCAGTGATGACTTAAAGTGTTCGGTTAAGTTCTAAAATATATATGAATTATTTTGAGAGGGTCGAGTTGGGCTGACTGTACATTCTAGTTTCTGTTTTTTAAGTTTATTCAGCATTTTATTAAATCCAACAGTTTTCTCTAACACTTAACGTATTGTGTGTTTCTACATGTTCTTACATGAACAAACCCTTGTCACATACATTTGTACATCTTGCAAGGTAGAAGTGTTGCAAAAGTCACACAGAAACAGACAGCCAATTGAGAGGCTCGCCTCAGTTGTAACTGATGACCTAAGCGTTTTCAGCTCTAAAGCGAAAACACCCAGGGCCTGATCCACAAAAGGATTACACATCAGATAACCAGACAACGTGTCATTCTCCAGGCACAAACTGTTGCTGTTTGTGCGTATTTAAACCAGCCATTATTCAGTCATTTAGAGCCCCTCTTTATGCAAGGGAAACATTTTATTTTCAGACAATGATGTAAAACAGCCAGGAGCAGATAAAGTGACAAAATGACCGACTGCTGAGAGATGGTTGTAAATGCACCACAGTACTTATAAGGGATGTCACAAAAACAAACTTTCCAGTGATCAGGACATCAATTCCACCTCTGTATGATCTAAAAACTAATTGTCTGTAAATATTACATTTACATTACTTTTATTAAAGGCAGGGTTGGTAGCATTCCCTCAGTTCTCCTTCTACACCCACCCCCTTCCCTCTGTGCTTCCTTAAAAGCCACGCCCCCTCACTTACATGCACAAGGGCCGTTGCTCCAGAAGCGGAGCGTCATCGGTGACGCGCAAGGGGTAGACAACAAGCAGGGAGACAGGGAGGCGTGTGATTGGTTCATCAGATTGGTACCTCGTGGCAGACATTGGTCAAAGTTTTTACAGGCTTACAACTGATACAGATGACAGATTTTCTTTGTTCCTTTTTCAGAGAACATGAGTTATTAATTTCTGTCAGGACCTAAAGACAATTCAACCAAAATTTTAAAAGTGTATCTGAAGAAAATGACCAACCCTGCCTTTAAATATAATCTGGGGTTATAGCAGTCCAGGGCTCTCAGTGACTCAACCCGAGCACGTAAGCACACCACTTGTTGAGGCGGTCTGGGTGGGTGTGCGCATCACAGAGATGACAGTGTTTTTTTAATCTGGAACAGCTGCTCTTGCTGACTCAATCCAGGGAGGAGACTTTGTTATAACGTTGTATCACATCTGTAAAGACTTGACTTCATAGTAAACTGGTAAAGAAGTGTCCCCTCCCCTTCCAGCTCATCATCCATCTGTGGACAGAATAAGCGCTGTCAGGATGAGTGCAGCTCCCTGCAGCAGAGAGAGGAGAGGCTGACTCCACAATCAAGACTCCAAATAGATGCAAACTGCACGGAGAAGGTTATCTTTATGGTGGTGTTTGAATATCTTTAGTGCTATATGCTTTGTGAACTGAACCTTGTGATAGAGGAGACAGCATGTGCATATCATCATCAACTGCAATCTATTCTTAGTGAAATCCTGCCATCAATAAATATGCACTTATTTACAAATGGTCTACAAACTTTCAGATATGCGGACACATTTGTGAATACTTTTACACATTTTTGGATCAATCAATACATTTACTGATCAGTATTATTCATTTATGGATGTGTTTAAGACTTTGTGAATATAATTATGAGTTTACATATAGTTTCTAACAAGGTCTTAAGCAGGGTCATTGTAAAAAAAAAAAAAATGTTTTGGTTACAGAAATCTGCAAAAATAAGAAGTTCCAACTCATTTGTGAATTTAAAAACAACTTGATGATGCACACAGTATATAATATTCATTAAAGAGTGGTGTGCCAAACTGTTTTTTAAAGTATCTTCTTCAAAGTATTTTCCTTTTCCGTGTTTCTTTGCAGAGCTCGAACTGACCTCAGCTGACGATGTGAAACCAGATCCAGTCCATCTTAAATGTCCTCACTCAAACTGGAATCGTTACCTTCATGCCGTTGTGGAAAAGTTTCCCGACAGAATTGAAGCAACCGTCAGTACGCTGCAGTCCAGAGAGCCACTTCTTGGCGTGGTCGATGTGCCCGCTGTCCACAAAGATGTACGAGCTCGCCCCGCCGAAGGACTTCATGACAAAAGTGGTCAGCCTAGACAGATACACACACACACACACACACACACACACACACACACACACATTAAGGCATTTTATTATAAGACACGTCTAACCTTGTGTTTGTGTTGGTGACAATGAAACAAATCCAGCTTTTCAGGCATTTAAATTTAAGTTGTCTTTGTAGATTTTCTTCAGTATGCTTTTCTTTACTTCTCTTTTTTACATGTTCTAAATGAAACACTTCAATCAATCAATCAATCCTAAACATGCATCATGTACTCTAATAGTACTGACAGAGTTACAGGCTTGTTAATAACACCAATGCAGACCCTTACCATTTCTAACAAATTGAATCCACCATATATATAGACCCATACATCCTTTAATGCTTTTGTTCCAGACACTGAGGTTTATTAATCGATTGAGACAATCCAATCCCATTCCCTGTCTGAATTTTAATTCAATAGAACACTTGAGAGTCCTCGTTCCTCCCCGACACAAACACACACCCACACACACACTCACCACCTGCCAAACTGCCCAGCACCCTTTTTCCAAACAGAGAATCCCCAGAGGCTCTGTCCTTTAAGCCCATTAAATGCAAATATTAATATTTTCTGGCATGTTTCTTCACAAAGTAAATAATTAGGACGCTCGCTGGTGCCAAACACCTCCCACTGTGTCTGTGTTTCATACTGAGCGGATCAGATTCAAGCTGAAAATATTTTGAGTTGAACAATAAAAAGAGCTTTAGAAAAAATGCTCTGAAATGTTTTCTGAACACTGATGCAACACAATCACACCATGAATTATACAAGTGGGAACATCAACTGTATATTATCAATGTTATTTTGGTCCCATTATACAAAACTGTTCACGTCAAGTGTTAACGACAGGTGTGTAAATAAAGTTTACAGACAGTGGGTGGTTGTTACTTCCTCATCCGTCTGAATTATTTTATACGTCAATATTTTAAAGTTTGTTGGCTTGTTCAATCCACAGCAATTTTATATGCCAAATATAATGAAATAAGTCCTAATCAAACCTAGATAATGTGCAAGAAATACCCATATGTCCAACAGTATTTGATATTTTTGATCATTTTTTTCAGGTGTTCAAACTCCCAGAACTTTGGTAAATGGACTTGAGCTTGTAAACACTTTTTTAGTCTTCTGACAACTCAAGGGCAGCCACTCAGCTCTTGTGTGTTTGAAGATAATGTTGTTATCTAAGAAACAAAGCCAGAAAGCAAAACTTTGGTGAATGTCGAAATTTCTGAAAATGGGTGTAAGTGGGAATGTCTTTCAAAGAATTCTTGGTGAATGAGGCTCACTGATTTGTGCTACATGAATTAAAATAAATAAATAAAAAAGAGCGGAGGATATTCTGAAGATGAATCATTGAACCGTTTTCTACATGTTCATAGAAAACAGCTGTGCATCATTATCTAATGTTTGTATTCACTTATCCCACTCACTATGTCTCTAATTAAAGAGTACTGACCAAGTATTTCCAGACTTATCTCCCGTTCCAAAGGCACTGTAGGAACCGTCAGGATGTTTGTATTGAAGCTGCCTCATATATCCTGCAACAAGATCAAGAACAAAACTAAGCACAGACTAACAGGTAACAGCTCTGCCTTTGAACAATTCAAGGGGTCCTGTTGATTCAGGTATCAATTAACTTATTTGAAAAACAAGGCTAGAAGACAGGTTTAAAAACAAAAACAAAGATTAGAGTTGACATTAAACTGGTCATGAGCTATGGGTAGTGACCAAAAGAATGAGATTGTGGATACAAGCAGCTGGAATGAGTTTCTCCGGAGGGTGTTTGTGCTCATGTTAAGAGAGAGTGTGAGGAGCTCAGATATCAGGAGGGAGCTCGGACTAGAGCTGCTGCTCCTTCACATCCAAAGGAGTCAGTAGAGGTGGTTCAGGCTTTTAGTTAGGATGCCTCGTGGTCGGCTCTCTTTGGAAGTTGTCGAGCACATCTCCCCGGGAGGAGACCCAGAGCTCGCTGGAAGGATTGTGTATGGGGAACACCCTGAAGTCTCCCCCGAGGAGATAGAAAACATTGCTGGAGAAGGGGTGTCTGAGTCTACTTGCTTAGCCTGCTTCCATCACATCCCAACCCTGGATAAGATGAAAATGATGATGGATGGATGGATGGATGGAGGAATGGATGGATGGATGGGTGGGTAGATGGATGGATGGGTGAACTGATGGATTGAAGAATGAATGGATGGACGGATGAATGGATGCATGGATGCATGGATGGATGGAGGGTGGATGGATGTGTCGATGGATTGTTATTAAAAACAAAGGGAATTTGCAGACAGGAATGATCCCTAAAATACTCCAGATCAGCTGAGTCTTTGGTGCTGAAGAAGCTTTATTTATGAAACCTAAACATTAATCTTCTCTCAAAGGGGGGATGGAAAATCTCACCTGACTTCATGTAATCATCTGTTTTATCCAGGATGTCCTTGGTCAGCTGATTTGTGCTCATCAGGTAGTCGAGGATAAAAACGTTGGGAGCAAACTTCAACATGTTCTGCTCCCCACAGCCATACGGCATCCTCAGGAGGTCCTGCACGTTCTTCAAGGCCGTGCCCATCAGGTCACCTGCAGGAGAAACAACAGACAGATTACGACAATACTCACTGCAAACATGTTTATTCTGAGCAGGTTAATTTTATTTTACCTTTGATTAACAAGGCAAAAACTTAGATTAGAATTAGATTAGAAATCTCTTTATCAAGAGTGTTCTGGCAAAGACCGGCAGCAGCACAATTAACAGAGTTTGGCAAACCTTTGGTTACTGTGAGAATGAACTTGAAATGAAGTTACCACTATCTGCCTGCACACACTATTTGTAAGGTAGTTTACCGTTTGTGCGGACAGTCCCACTTTGATCAGTCTGTGTTTGAGTATTATATGGTCCATATATCAAATGCCTTGGACAGGTCTATAAAGAGGGCTGCTTATTATCTTTACATTCTATAAAGTCATTAAAAACTATAAGAGCTGCTGATGTTGTGCTGTATTTTTTTTCTTCCTAAAAACCAGATTGAAAGTCGGATAAAACGTTATAAATCCATATTAGCTGATCCATTTACCCAGAACAGAGACCGAAGCCCTGACTGACCCCTCGACATAGTCCTTTGGCAACTCAAGAGACATGTTCTCCTCCACAGTCTCCTCTGGAAACATGAACAGCAGAGAGAAAGAAACATTAATGACACACAAAGAAAGAAACTAAGAGAAACATGAGATGCTAAGGTTGTATGTGAATGCTTACTTGCAGGACAGAGGAGGGCGCTATGACTGACCATCTGTGGGGTTCCTTCAGCCTGGTGAACAGACAGAGAGATTTAAAGAGATGAAAAAATAACCTAACAACTTATGGAAAAAATACATCTTTTATGAGGGGTCAGTCAGGTATAGGACAACCCAAAACTCCTGTAGTTTATAAGATGGATACAAATCTTCACCCTCTAGTTGAACTACAGCGTCAGACAAAACACCTCAGTGGGTGCTGACACATTGATATGGGGACAGCATTTGGAGCTAGAGTTGCCCAGTAGACTCTGGCGTGTTTTTGCAGAGTCAATTATAGACCTTTTTATACCATCAAATACCTAATTAAAGGGACAATATGTAAATTTGGAAGACAATGTTTATATTGAAATATATAAATTAATTAAAATTGACTAAACCCATGTTATATATATTTTATAGTTGACGAGACATGTCCTGTCGAGGCGGCCGCCATGATGAGCCGCCATGACAGTCAGAATGTTTATCACTGCCTTGGAAAAACCAGATGTAACGTCAAAGACGTCTGCATAAGGAAGGGTAAACTGCAACTGTGATAAAAAGGTCATGTAAATTATACTTGGATACATCGTCAGTAGAAACTCCCAATATTACCTGCTAGCCTCGACGTCAGTCCCCTGGTGGCTGAAGCTACATATTGTATCTTTAAAACTAAACCTCTTTACCATCTTTACCAAATTACCGTTGAAAATATATTGGACATGTATTTTGATTTCATAGTTTGACCTTTTTTGTCCTGTCTGTTAACATGGTGGAGGAGGCGGAGCTTATGACCTGTCAGTAAGAGGGGGGGGGGCTTCAAATGTGTGGGCTTCAATTTTGAGGAGCTGTCCTGTAGTTCATCTTTTATACAGTATGTATGGTGTAATTTTTCATAGTTCAATTAAATATGATCTTGTATGATTGTTTTGAGAATTTACTTCATTATTTTCAAATGGGGTACAGGAAAAGGCACCTAGTCGTTTTGGAATAATGGTTAAAAATGTAGAAATTGAAATACCTTTTTCTACCTTTCTAGAAAAATAACATATTCTTGTCATTTTGACTTTCAGTTGAAATTAAGCATCTCTAAAACCTGTTGAGGGAATTTGTCAACAAAATCCTAACCAATTTCCCCGTCCCAAAAAAAAAGACAATGTATGAGTAATACATGTGTAAGCGGTTTTATAACAGTGTTTAGTCATTCGTTTTAATATAGTGGCTGATGGTCACTGACCTCCACCAGCAGGTCGCGGATCACTGTGTCCACTTGGCCCTTTTCTGGTATAGTGGTTGGTTTTTCTCCACACAGTTTGCCGGTCTTCAGAGCTTCTGCGCTGACCTTCATATTCACCTGACCTGTGTGCACAACATACATGCTGTTATTCTGAAAGCAGAGCGGTGTATTGATTACCTCTTCCTATGACACTTTGTGTACAGAGGCATCAGCCTCCTGTCTGCTTTCACACTCATTATCCTCCCTGTTCCCGTTCCTCCCCCTTGTTTCCTAACTCACTCTTCCTTATTAATCCCCATTTGTTGCCTTATTATCCCTCATCCTGCTCCATCTTCCAAGCCCTCCTCTCCCTCCCTTCACAGCCCACAATCCTTCACTCAGAGGACAAGTACAGATCGCCCCCCGAGGGAGCGCTTTCTGAGTGTTTCGTCAGAGATGCTACCTGACTTGTTAGTACAAGTGATTGTCAGCATTCCTCTAAGGGGGAGTTAGATGAGTGCAATTTGACATTCATCAGAGCGGTGTCTCAATCCGTGCTGATGGAGGCTGATAGAAATCCTCTGCTTTCAGGGCCAGGCAGCAGAACAAACACAGCCCGCTGTCTTTGCTTCCAGCAGTGAAAACGTAACAGCTGTCAATGCCCTTAATACAGATTCATTAGCTGCTTTTGTCTCATTTTTGTCACTGAGAGTGTTTGTTTGTTATTGGGCAGAACAGACAACTACAGGATTTAATTATGATGATGTGAAGATTGCATGAGGTCTTTAGTGACAGAAATAGCAGGAGGAGCAGAGCTGTGGTTAGCATCGTTTCAAATAAATCTGCTGGAGAGAAACTGATCAAGACTTTGTGTTTTTGTAAACTTTTGCACTCTTCATGCACAAAAACCTGCACAAACTGTACACCTCATTATTTACACTTTAAAAAATATATAAAATATATATTTTAAACAATATTGTTCATTATATTACTATTTATATCATTGTATGTTAATAGTGAAAGTGCAGTTATTCTTGTTGAAGAATTGTAGTTATAATTGTAGTTTTCCTTGTGGTTCTCTTGCTGTCTGTGTGTTCATAAACACAAACAAACTTTCTGTGTATTTGTGTCTATTGCCAGTCTCTCAGTAAATAACTTGGGGAAGCTGGGTAGTTTTGTTGATATACCCCTGCCTTTTGTGTTGAGTGTTAAAGCCTCCCTGGCAGCTTTCACTTTTATTTATTATTTTCTAGGTCTCCTGGACAATTTAATTTTGAGTCAGCTGTTTGGCAGCAGTGGTTTAGTTAATCATTTTCAGTGCTTTATGTAGTTTAAAAGGTGTTTTCACACGCTTGCCTCTTGCAATTCAGTCATCCAATTAAAAACCACACACTGGGACACTAATATCACGCTATTGCAGATGCAATGTGTAAGTACAAAGTCAAAAAGATGGCTGACCTTCATAACAGCGCAGTAACAGAATCTGATCAATTAGCAGCTTAATACTCATGTTTACCTGTTCGGTTAAGAAACTAAAATCCTTCCACTCTTCTACCAAAGAGTGTACAAATTATATCTCACAGTGCAACTGAAACCCTGTCACATCCGAAGTGATTCACAATAACTGGCTTATATGATTTGCAATAAAATGCAGGGAACATGACTTTTAAATGGGCTGTCATTTTTCATTTTCTGTTAGGCATTATTTCCATCTTTTTTAATGTTATACACAGCTTTTTTCTTTTGTTTTTTCTCGTAGCAATTGCAACAGTTGTCCTTTTTCCATTCTGCTGTTGTAAAGCGCTTTGAAGTTTCTTGCCTCGAAGATGCAAATAAAGGTAGTATCATATGAAATGGCATTGATTCAACATTATTATTTGGTGAGTTTTGTATTGACACCTAAGGCGGTTGGAGTAACAATCCATGAGAAGGTCAGGCTCTCTTCAGCACACAGACACACACTGTACTGGCAGCCAGCACATTTCTGGTACGTGTACTGGTCTGAGCCAGCCAGTGTGATTTTCATCTGCACACAGAAACACACAAACACAGATTACATCATTATACTCTTTAATCCATTTAAATCAAACTCATCTGTGAATAGTTACCATAATGCAATCAGAGAGATAGTTGAAGACGGTGGCTTTGAGCGTAAATGACTCCCCCCGGATGACGGAGTAAGGCAGCGTGAGACTGACAAAAATCGGCTTGAAGGCGGTCAGTCCAACGTTGGGCGACACGCCGAAGCCCTCAGAGGACGAGACACAGAACGCTCCGGCGACCCATTTAGTGATGGTGTCAGGAACGGTCTCCTTCAATTTGACTGAACCATTGTCTCTGTGGAAACGCACAATCAAAAAAATCTTTCAGCATGGACTTTTAACTCTATTCTACATAAGAATGTAGAATCTGGCACAGCACAGCAGTTGTAGCTTCATAATAAATGTACACATAATGGGACCATGAAAAAATGTAACGGAGAAGATTTAAAACTAGAGATTGATGTGTATCTATCTCTGCTGCAGTCGGAGTGACACGGGAAGCAGCAATGACAACGCTGAGTTGTCATTGCATTGAAGATTGTGCATCCCTTAGCATTATTACTTAGTTCAAACTTCTCTAAAATGATGAATTAAACTCACCACGAACCACACATTATCTGTTTGAAATACATCAAATAAACAAAATGCATGAAGTATATTTCAGTGATCCTTAATATTGGATGTTTGATTATTACCCCACTATCACCAGGTCCCAGATCCAGGTGTGAGGGAAGAAACTCCTGGTGGCCTCCTCAACCTTTTCCTCTGCTGGTGGGGCAGGGTTCCCCTGAGCCTCACTGGGTTGGACATTCTGTAGTGTGTCAGGGACCACAAAAGGCATCATAATTTCTGGGATTGAAAAAGAAAAAAATGTTGTTAACGAAGTGTTTGTTTTTTCCAGATAAATCATGACTCATAGCCTATTTTGGTAGAAAATATCAACTTATTAACACATTTAATGCAAGTCTGAAAATAACTTTTCTTTTTAACCAATCACTCGTGTGCAGGAATAAATCACTCCAAGCTATTGATAGAAGCGGCATATCCACGTGTTCAGAAAATTGGTTGAGTGCAATTGGTTCGGTATAGATACCGATACAGCAGACGTCTCTTTCAACTCAGGCTCTCATTGGCTATCATAGGCTGGTAACAGTGAATGGAAGGTCGTAATATGCAAAATGAGGTGTGAATCAAAAGGTGAGAGTGCAGCCGCCATTTTGATGTATCACAGTCCAAATAATTCATTATTCTCCATTATTTTGACAGTATTATGGCCAATTTCTGTTTTTAGCACACAGGACTCAAAAGAGTATACAGAAACCATAAAACTTACTAGAATCCAGAGTAAAATAAGAAAAAAAGGCAGGCACCGGACTGCAGTCACGAGGTTTTTTTGAAAGCATATTGGTCAACAGTTTAGTTCCAGTTTCCTAGAAGAGGGAGGGAGAGAAATTGTGCGTTGTTAGAGTTGTGTTGGTCCAGTTTTACAAGTCTCTTCTCAATACGGTTTTTGGATGTATTGTGAGTATTTCTTCATGAAATGTTATGAATACATATATTGTGTTGAATGTCAAGGTTAGACACCATCCATTAGAGCATTGGTTCCCAACTAGAGCCAAAGAAGATAGTTTTATCATAACTAAAATCCTGATAAAACACTTAGTTTATACAAAGGTCTGCTGATGTGATAAGGAAGAGTGTGTGAAGGCCTGTTCTGTTGTGATTATCAATGAGAACAATCAAGATTGAGGTGAACGTTTGATATCATTGCATAACTTTTATAGTGTGGGTCCTGGGGGGGTTCAGTTTCACAAAGTAACTTGCAATAAAAAATGTATGTTTTTAATGGTATAGTGAATCTTGATGGCATTTGGATTAACCCACTGATAGCCCTAACTGCCATTTAAAAAAAAAAAAATAACTTCAGGAAAGATAAATACTGATGATTTATTTTTTAATTCATTTTGTAAAGTTAACAACTTGCCAGGCTTTTGATCCGTCTCTTTTTTGCATGTAAACCTAAAGCCAATAAAACACATTGTTGTGCAGGTTGACTCGTGATTCCATCTATTGATATTTAGATGCCAACCATGGAAGACGACAGGATTGGGTAGGGGTAAAAAAAGTGTTTGATGGGTTGGGACAGGAGTTTGAACATAGAGATATGTGAAGACATAGAGATGGAGCACTGATACAGAATATAATTAGATAGAGATTAATAATGAATTCTTTGGAAATACAGACCAAGATTGCATTTTTTATACCTTAAATCTGCTGAAAGCGTCATTCTGCTCATAGAGCACATAGGGCGTCCAGATTTTAATATCGGGAACAATAGGCTGAAAGGGCAGGGTTACAGGCCCAGGCGAAGGTCCAGGCGAAAGTTCAGGATCACCGCCCTCGCATGGATATGGCTCATTGTCGTCAACCCTATAATCATATCCTGATAGCATCTGCAGAGGCAGCTGGTTATACATCTGCACAAAGAACAAACACATAAAAATTACAACTTTATGTAAGTCATAAGTGTAGGCACAGCTACAGGTCAGTCTATCACAAATCTTTTTTTTATAGACTGGTACCATTTCATCCCTGCAATCATGACAAACTTTTGAAACAAGAACACCACTGTCACGTGTTGATCAAGTTGGGTTGTCAATGGATTTACTGTCACATATTTTAGAGTCTAAAACATTCAGAACATTTATCTATCGTTCTGATAGATGATTCGTCAGCAGACATACATTTGGCTGTAATGGCTGCCGGCCTAATCTCTTGAGGTCAATGAGAAGTACGTCCAACTAAATGTTCTTGTTTTTGCCACTGACAGGCACAATGCTGTCTGAATGCATTAGAGACAGGTAATACGAGTTAAACCCTTTAATTGAAACCAGAAAAGTCAGTTTATTGAGAGCAAACAATATTTACAAAGACAATCTTTTAACATTAGAGAACACAGGAGTTGCTGGTCTACAGCTGCCTTAGTTGATTGTTAACCCTAACCTAGGGGCAGCATATAAAGACAATAGGATGGGGCCTGAAATGGAACCTTGAGGTACACCATAAGTAAGTGGGGGTGGTCTTAGAGTTGTCTTTGCCATCATGCAAATTAAAATCACACACTGGGACACAAATATTACTCAGTTGCAAGTACAAAGGAGTAGTGATTGCAAAGTTTTGTGACAGCAATCAAAAAAGGGTCTATTTAAGAATAGGGGCATAGTTAAGTACTGGAATTTTCTTTTTTAACACAGCTCAAAGTAGAACTGAGGACAGTAAGAGTCTTACATAGTCAACAGTGAGTTCCTGCTCTGGCTGCTGCAGGAGGATGCTCAGGTCGATGGCTCTAACAGAGCACATGGAGCCTGGCTCAGCGTTGAGTTGGAGCTTGGTCTCCTCTGCTGGAAGCTGCTGGACGGAGGAGAACTTCAGGGACACCTGCACAGAAGACATCCAGGTCATTACGGAGCTGAGGAGAACATCTCAGACAAACAATACTCGAATAATTTTTACCTAAAATGCAAATATCTTCCAATCTTACAGTAAAGTAAACTTAAGATTTGGATTCATGTATCTCTATGTTATATACATCCTAATGGGTCATTACGGTGGTACCTTGTTATTGAAGCAGAGCTCAACAGGAAAGTTCATGCTATCAGCCACAACCTCTCCACTGGGCAACACGGTGTAAATGATCACCTGAGCATACGGTGCCAGTTTTGTGACCTGACCAAGTGTTATAGACAACTCTCCTTTGTTGACTGAGACACGAAAAACAAGAGAAACCAATTAAAACACTATGAATATACATTTCACACCAAACACACAGTTTCTCGTTTTTTCATTTTCTAATATAAAATCATGTATTTGTATTTTGTACAGCATACCTCTTTACATATTCTAATAATAACCTGTTTGGTTTATCTGAAGCTAATTGAGCTGTAGAGTATATTTTTTCCCAAAAATAACTACTTACATTTTTTTTTTTTTTTTTTTTGCATTTCTATTTTTTATTTGACTGCATTTATTCATACCTTAATGACAACAGTGGAAATTGTTTTATTTAAAGCCAATAAGACTCATAAAGGAGGATTTCATGTATTTTTGGGGGATTCATTTGAAATATTGGATTTGTGAGGTTTTCTTTGTTTTTAAGATATATTTTTAGGCTTTTATACCTTTTTTATTTGTTAGGAAAGTTGAGTAGAAAACCAGGAGGGGAGTATGGAGTAACGAGGAAAGGAATAGTGCATGTTGGATTAACAGTTTAATCATTAAAACAGCTATTTATTAATTTAAAAACTACTGAAATGATTATTGAAGTGCATGTGAGCCATTGTCTGTTTTTTGTGTGGAAACATTGCTTACCAATTACATGTTCAACAGACACATGGACGCGGCCGTATTGCTTCATTACCCCTTTAGACATCACCTTAACATAGACAGACCACAAGAAGAGATACGTTAAGTTGTTTTTGTCACAGAAAAAATACAGTTATCTGAATGCCTATTAACATAACAACTATAAAACTGATACGATCAGTTCCCTCTCCTAGCGGCAAAAACACAGTTCTATTAGTCAAGATTCAAATGATAAAATAATGTCTAGTGTAATCTGATTGATTTAGAAACATAATGATGTCTCTGTGATGTACCTTTTATGTATAGTAAATTAAAACACTACAACAATGAATGCAAACTTTGAACCACATAGCAACCCTTAGAGTGGTAGATGATCTGATATTTCTATATCCAGCAGCTTAAAGAGGCCCATTGTCTAAAATGATTACAATGACTCTTACCAGGTAGAAAAAGGTCAGGGTGTCTGTCTCATATCTTAGCGCCTTCCCCTGGATGATGTACTGAGCATGCACAGTTGCATCTCTGTCACAGGAGATCTTCCCATCGGCCAGCATGATCTTCAGAAAGCTGTGGCTCATGGAATAAAATCTCAAAGCGCTGTGGTAGGCTGAACTGTAGTATGCGTTGTATTTTGGATATGTAGGAATCTTTATCTTCTCAGGCGTAGCCTGTAGATACCACAAGTCACATTTTGACTCATCAACATTAATTTAAGAGCTAACTTGTAACCATGAACCAATAGTCAATTGTAGAAATGGATGACATAAAATCTGTGTTGCTCAACGATCACAAGGATAGAAATTTCCTTTAAATAGTGACTGAATTGTTACCAAAAAAGAACTGGTCATTTGTATCAAAGCACAAGAAAAGAAGTTTCTGACAAACTAAAAGGCTTAACAAACCGTTAGAGAAACAGTGTCCTTCCAGAGGCTTGTGTCCAAGGAAAATGACGCCATGCCGCTTGTGTCCGTAGTAAGTTTTACTCTTTGTGAGGAAGAGGTAGACAGGGTCACATAGGCATTGGAGACAGGTTGGTTGTCTGGACCGATTACTTTAATCTGCAAACAAAAAAAACAACCATAAGCTTACACACGGTGGTATGAGTCAATCAATCTCAATCTGAATTGGGGCTATTTGTTTAGCCCCAATTCAAAACAATTTACATGTTACACAAGAACAGGTCAAGACTGTACTCTTTGTTAAATTATTAATAAATCATGAGAACAGCATTAAGTAACAGTGGTAAACTGCTTTTAACAGGCAGACTCATGTTGAACACCGTCTCCTGAAACTGTGTTGGGCTTGCAGACAGGAGTCTGAACTTGCTCTCTGAACTTAGCATCTCAGGATCTGCCCTCTGCTGGTTTGTGTCCTACCTCTCTGGGCGATCCTTTAGAGTGTCGTGGAAGGGAGAAGTGTCTAAAGCGAACAGTTTATCCACAGGGGTACCTCAAGGGTCAGTGCTTGGTCCCCTTCTCTTCTCCATATACACAAGCTCACTAGGTTCAATAATCCGCTCTCATACCACTGCTATGCTGATGATACCCAGCTCTTCCTGTCATTCCCGCCAGACGATGTTACAGTCTCTGCAAGAATCTCGTCATGCCTTGCTGATGTCTCTAAATGGATGAATGAACGGCACCTTCAACTCAATCTTTCAAAGACTGAGCTCCTTGTCATCCCAGCCAGTCCCTCTATGCAACCACAGATCAATATCCAGCTTGGTACAACCAAACTCATGCCCACAAAGTCTGCCCGGAACCTGGGTGTCATGATTGATGACCAGCTAACTTTTAAGGTTCAAGTAGCCTCGATTTCCCGGTCATGTCGATTTGCCCTGTACAACATCAGGAAGATCAGACCTTACCTGTCAGAACATGCTACACATCTCCTGGTACAGGCTCTTGTGATATCACACATCGACTATTGCAACTCTCTACTGGCAGGTCTTCCTACATGCACTATCAAACCCCTGCAGATGATACAAAATGCAGCAGCACGACTGGTCTTCAACCTTCCTAAAAGAGCACATGTCACTCCGCTGTTCATCTCCTTACACTGGCTCCCAGTTACTGCTCGCATCAAATTTAAAACTCTGCTGCTCGCTTACAAAACAGCAACAAAAACAGCTCCTCCTTACTTTAATGCTCTCATCCAGGTCTACACTCCCTCCCGCACACTACGCTCTGCCAATGAAAGGCGTCTGATCCAACATTCACAACAGGGCAGGAACTCACTGTTGACTATGTAAGACACAACAAGTCTCTGACTAGACTCTTCTCCTCTGTCGCCCCCCGGTGGTGGAATGAACTTCCAAACTCCATTCGATCTGCAGAGTCCCTCTGCACCTTTAAAAAAAAAGGTAAAGACCCAGCTCTTTCATGAATACCTACTAACTTAATTATGATGGTCTCGATATTATTGATGATGATGGTTGTGACGATGGTTTTTGTTTGATAACGATGACTTATAAGATGGTTTCTATACTGATTAGAGCTCTCAAGAACTGCCGTCAATGTTGTGCTTTGCCTCTGTGCAATGCCTGTCAGCACCTGTGTGTCCAATCGGACTCAAAGCTGATCGTTTGCTCTTACTGACATTGGTCCCTTTTTTCTAGGAGTCTCTGTCCAAACCAATTTGCTGTGAAGTATAATCTGACTTGAGTGCTGACTGCTTCATAACTTGGTTTCATATTCATTATTTTGAGCCTCAAACTGCTCTCTTTGATACTATATTAAAATCCAATGATGTAACATTACCAAAATATATTGTGTATACAAACAGCTGCACTTCTTCTAATGTTTCGCCATTGAAAAGATTCATTAATAAACATGAAATAATACAGAAAAGAAACAGTGAGATGCTGGGAACAGCAACGGCAAAAAATGTTTCCCTGTTTGTCCTTGGTGGTCTGGCAGAAGCGTATACATTGTGGTTGCTGTGTTAGTTGGATCTTGAAATGGTTAACATGATCAGAATCACACGAATCACAAGTATCTTTCTAAAGATGTATGACATGAGTACTGTTCATAAACAGCAGTTATAATTGTGATAATAAGAAAGCATTCCCTGACCTGCGACTGTAGGATTTTTCACAGCCTCAAATATATGAATTGACTTTCAAAGGTTACATTTGCTTTGCAGGTTCCTCCTACGACAACTCTGATACCTGAGATTTTAGATCAAAACTTCCTTCATCATGAACATGATCAAAAAAATAGGTTAATGTCACTGATTATTACCTTTCCTTCGAACGTGAGGCCAGGCTTGTATGCTACAGGCGTCTCCATGAAGGAGGCCGATCTGACATACCTGTTGATAGTCATCCGTGCGTCTCCTTTCAGAGTGACCCCTAGGCGGTAGGAAGTAAACAGATCACAGATCAGGATGTCTCTTTGCTAAATGTTGCTTAGTGCTGGGCTCATGATGGTCTTGAAATATAGCAGAATAAGGTCATTTACCTGCTTTCTGTAAAGTGTCTCAAGATGACATTTTTTTATAAACTGGCACTACACAAATAAAGATTGATTGATCAGGAAGTATTGAACTACTGAACATTATCCAGCAATTAGTCAGCCTACCTGTGCCAAACTCCTCCAGTTCAGCAGTCACCTCGAAGCTGTTGATGTACATGAAGTTGGTGAGGAAAAACTCGGCCATGTTCACTTTTTGTGTAGCACAACCGCTTTTATCCGTCTAGTAGAAAATCAAAAGAGTCAACACAATTCTTACTTAAAAAGTTCAAAGGAGGGGTAAAAAGGAAATGTGCATACAGAAAGCCAAGTGTTTTGTTACGTAGATTACTCACTGTCATATTATAAGTCTTGCAAGGGTTTATGTCTTTGGTCCTATAATACCAGTAAACGGAGCCTATTCGGCAGAACACCGCCTTGATTGAACCTTGAACTGGTTTCCCATAGGTGTACCTGGAGGACGCACAAGAATAAAAGATGCTTTTAAAGAAAGTCAGAGCTGGATTGATGATTGATATAGAAGAGATTTGTATTGAAAGTTAATGTCATCTCATTGCCTAAAAAGTGCAGGTATCAAGAAACAGCAGAACATCCTCCAAATCAAATAAGTCAAAATGAAATGATACCTCATTTTTCTACACTGCCAAAATGAGAACAAAATTGTATTGACTTCTTTGCAGTCTTCTGGTTTAGTCTAGGCACAAAAACTACATTGATTAGTTTCAGAAAAGAAGTCAAAGGGTGGACCAAGCTTCAGGGGGAAAGTCTGACATTTTATGGGCTCATCTATTGCCCCTTATTGCCGCTCAGAGCAGCATTTATCAGTTATCCAACTTTGTCACCAGCAAAATGTATTACTTAAAGGGTTAAAGGGTTTACTTTGGTATGAGTGAAACGCCTGCTCTTGAATAGACCAAGCATTTATATACCGTGACTTGGGAATCAGTTCTATTCATATTTTTTACATGAATAGAACTAGAAGATGTTTGACTCACTTTCCACAAATCTTTAGCGGCGCCTCTTCATCCATTACGCTGACCATGCTGGGCAGTTGAACTGTAACTTCATATTTTGGCGGGACTGAGGGAAAGAATTTTTTATTTTTATTTTTTTAAATGATACTGCTGAAAATGTACATGAATCAAGCACTTCATTACTTTGGAAGATTTCCATTTTTACCAAATTCCTTGACAACAAAGGTGTGAGTTATTTTTTCTCCTTTGTCTGTGATGGCGCTGATCGTGTAGGTTCCTTGCTCGGCATCAGAATTCATTGGGTGTGAAAAGTCAAGGATGCCAACATCAATAGACTTATCCAGCCACTGGGCGATGCGATTTGAATTTGGATCCTATAGAGAGACAGAAAACCAGAAAAGTGAAGGGCTGTGAATTCTTTCAATATAGCATTCAACACAACATTGTTTTTAGCTCAGTTTTTCATTGAAGTTAGTGGAATTACGCGGAGCAAAAGTGACTGTCAATTACAATGTATAGCCTAGCTACCGTCCCTACACTCCTGCTGTTTTCTCAGTTGAAGGGCTGAGCTGACCAACATCTCTGGTGGCTAATATGTATACTCCACGCACTTACAGTCTATAGACAAACTCAACCATAGACTAGCAAAGATATAATCTGGGTTGGAGTTGTCAGTTTGACAAGAACATTAATTATGTTAAGAAACAGCCCAGTATCATAAGAATGAAACAAATGAACACATTAGTTGTTCATTTGTGTTATTAACTTTTTCACTGTGACTTTAAGCAGTTAGAAGAAGAAGCACCAGAGGTAGCTTCTCTTACGATTGCTGTTCATGAATCTTACCTGGAGCACCACTGAATCGTACTGAAAAAGAGAAGAACATGAGAAGATTTTTGTGAAAATGGGTAAAGTATAAAAAGAATTTGCACAAAGCACAAGTTATTGTTGTACACAACAGAATTCCAGTACCAGAAAAAATATTTGAAGTTCTGTATAGTTTGACCCATGTCCCATCTGTTTACATGGAGAAGGCAGGGTTTATGACCTATAGTATGCAGGGGGAGCACTAGATATTCTGGCTTCACTCCTAGGCGGCTGTTGCTCTGTCCATCTTAATAAACAGCCTTTTCGGTTCTGACACAAATTAACAACAACAATAATAAACAAACGTTAATTAAAGCTTGCCTGAGTACAAAACAAACTAGAACAATGCATCAGTGGCCGTTTGTTATGGACAAATAGTCCCAAATAAACAAAAGATTTTAGCATCCTTTTTTTCACGAGACGAGTAGAAACCAAATCCTTTCAGCACAGTTTCCTCTTCATATAATAGATTTGAATGAAATTAATGTCTGTTGCACAAAGCCATATTTTTAGCCTCTCAGTGTAAAAAGAAAAAGGCCTTGAGTTTACATTGGTTCAGATGTTTGGGTCAAACGCCAAATGAACTCTGACAGCATGTTTATCACAAGACTACACACAGCACTTCACACCCACGCTGTCTTTACATGTAAAAAAAAAAAAACAGCCCTACTTTCACCTCCCACTCTCCGAACTAAAATAGACCTCCTTCTTCAGATTCACTGACTGCTCAGGAGAAATTACTCCAGACTACAAGTACACTCTACCAGAACATGTCATGTAGTATAACAGGATAAAAGGAAACATGTTTAACTTACCACTCGTGCTTTAGGGACGAAATCTGTATCCAATGAGACCATTCGAAACCTGACTTTAAGTGAAAGAAGAAGAAAACACATCAGTTCATTTATTCATTTAACAAACTGACATCCATACATAATGAGGACAACATCTAGGAAAAAATGCTGCTGCAAAAAAAGAAATGAATAAAATCCTTCAGTACATTTTCCATTGAGTTCCAGCAGATACTTAAAATGAGGGATACATAATATTCCTGACACTGGGGCCACAACCAGCAGGGAAAAAGCCATTTGCGGAGTCAGATTTAAATAAATCTCTCACACACTTTAGACTGCTTCTTAAGAGTGTTCATTAATCCACATAATTAGGATTAAAGACACATTGACAACAAGTGCAGCTGGCCTGTATTTGTGGTTTTTATATGCTATATTTTATTCATTGTTACCAAGAATGTTTGAGGAACAGGCATTTTCTGTTAGTTAGGTTTGTTTCTATTTTAGTCTCACCTTAAAAAAGATTAGTGTTTAAAACTTAGGTCAGCACCCACAGGTCCTGTCCTCTACTGTTTATCTCAGCATAATGTAATTGTAGCGCGATTTTACATTTCTACCAACCCCACCTGATTTTTATGTTGCTCCCCTTTCCCTTCACCAGCTGGAGTCCTAACAGCTGAATAAAGGCATAATTTCTACAGTTGTCAAGTCTTGTCTCAGCAGGATGCAGATATTATAATTCAGTCCAAAATAGTGCTGCTGCAGCAGATTTGGTAAGCAGGCTGAGCCGTATGAACAGTAAATATTCTGCAGTATTCCTGCCACTCAGAAACAGAAGTTTTTTAACACCTTTAGTGTCCTCCTAATGAAAAAGAGTGAGGTTAAAAAATATATAATAATAAGAATTCAAAACTCACCAGGCTGTCCAGGCGTGTAGATTGGTTTATCAGTTTGGACAATGTGGATGCAAGTAGGCGGCTCAATGAGGACTTTGGTCTTCTTGGTTATTGTGTCTTTCCTACCCTCAAGAACAATAATAACGTTCGCCACCGTTATCATGCTCACTTCAGGAACCTGCAACACAAAACACAAGTCCATCAGGCAGGAAACACCACAGTCCCACTAAGGATTCAAAGCCAGGCTTTATGGTCTATCAAAGCAAGTGTTATCTGATGTAACTGGAACTGGGCATTTACTCCAGGATTGTTGAGCATCTGGGCCTCAAATGACCGGATTACACAACAGGTTTGAAAAAAGATAAATGGGAGGACGCTTTGTTTATCTGAATGCATGACTAAAATGTGTTGCCAGTAGTGATGCACTTTTCTGAAACTGTTCCATCTATGCGGTATGTGTGCAGTAAAACATTTGCTTCATCATGATCTTTGGCATTGACAGCCTCAGTCATGATGCTTTCAGTATCTTCAGATTGTTTTAAATACTTCAGGAATATTTGAAACCTGAGAGTTATACCATTCCAATAATCTGAGGACAGATTTGAACAATACTGTTCAGACTGTTTAGCTGAGAGGCCTTGAAACCAGCGGGTAAAAGACTCTTAGTAAAGGACTGATAAAATCGACAAGGATTAAAGGACTGACTGAGAAAGAATGTAGTTTACAAAAAGGTAAATTCTCTGTTTGCCCCCTCTTAACAATAACCTCAGTGTTCACGTCATTATTGAGTTGATTATCTAGCTTACATGCTTTTTTTTTTCTTAAAGTATTTTAAACATATGCAAACAATTGTGTCGAAGTCATCCTGCCGCTGTGGGTTTTGACTATATTCTGAACAAGAGGTATGTAACGTTATGACAAAACAAATACACAACATGATCAAGATTAAGTGATGGAAGCCGTTGGTCTTCTGTGTCTTTCAAAAATCAAAGACTAATATTGTTTATTTTGAATAATAAATAAACAGAAGTCTCGGTTGAGGTGAGACAAAGTAAAGTATGAATCCAATAGACATTAAAAAAACAAAGTTCAGCTCCAACTCGCTGCCAGTGAAATGCAGAACCAAGTATCAAAAAGCAGTGTTTTATACATAATATGTATCTTAACTGACGTGCTTAATAACGACAAGTTGCCTAAATATGTGTACAAATAATGTGACAGACCTTAAAGTCAAAGCAGCGATAAAAGTCTCGTGTGATCGATGTCTCCACGATGACGTTTTTTTTTCTACCCGTCTCCATTTGTAGGATAACAGTCAGACAGATGGGCTCTATGGGGTCGTGGATCTGTGCACACAGGCTCTCTTGATACCCTCCTCTGAGCCGGGAGCTCAGTGTCACCGCATAAAGGCTGCATGAAAAAAGAGTGTCAGATTAGCAAAATAATGAGGTCATAAATTACAGATATGGACAAAATGTGAGCAGAAAACCCTGCAGGTTCAATCGTAGTATAGTCCAACTGATTATTTTCATTGAGCCAGGACTTTGGATTCTGTTTTAGCCATGTAACGATACCTCTCATATAATTAAAAATCCATACAAATAAGGGCCAATTCAAATCACTGATGCGAAAATATTTATTGCAATACTCTATTTCAACCAGCAGAGGGCACTGTCTATTTCTTTTGGCATCAGTAGCTGAAGAAGTGAGGCGTACATACCAGGCAGAAACAAGTGAAGATTTTAAAGGGGGGCAATGCGTCTTGTTGGCTGAAGAAGGGAGGTGAGCAGTCAAGACAAAAACAGTGTTCTTATATTGAAAGAGATTAAATGAACAAATATCAAAACCGACATGATGCCAGATGTAAAACGGCGCCAATTTGAGAAGCTCCTCACACCAAAAACCTATTATAAACTTGCCGCTAGGAGTAGATTGAGACATGTTTCGAAGACACTGGATTACAGGATGTGTTTTTCTGCTCACAGAAGACTGTCTGGAGCCCTGCTTGTGTAGAAGAAGCTGCATGTTACGGAGCCTTTCTTTTCTTTTTTTTTTTTTTTTTGACTCGTACAGAGAAACAGGCAGAATTGTTGTCTAAGTCCTTTCTTTAGACAGCAAAGCATCATAATGCAATACAGATAACGATTCAGTGACGGATTTGCATCCAGTAACATTTGAGAGAGAGAGAGGGAGAGAGACATACTGCAGCAGGCATTGCACACATGTACAAAAAATACACATGTATTTGACGTGGATGTCCAATCCTGCACAGGCTGTCAAGTGTGATTGGCGACCACCTGCATTATGCATAAAGCAAACTTTTGCAGGCAATATGGAATGCGATTGTTTGTTGGTTAAATCTTGCTTTACTTACGTTTCTTTAAGTTTGTGGGATGATGTCAGAGTTGTCAGGACCGCAGCTGTGATGATGACAGTGAACATTTGGAGCACAGGTGCCATGTCTGCAGATGAGCAGCAGGCAACTTTAGCAGAGTGGACTGACTGCAGAAGGAAGCACTTCAAGATCCAGCAGTGCAGCCTTCAAAGTTTTCTCCAACAGTGTCAGTAGTGGTGCGGAGTGGCTGTTTATATCCTTAAACTTCTGACACCTCCTCTCCCCAAGTTTGTTTAACATTTGCAGCCTCCTCCCTGATCCTGAAGGAGTTTATCTTCCCAAAAGGTTCAATCACACAACCCTGCCAGCTGCCAGGAGACAGTTTCTGAAGAATTTTAAAGTCCACACTTCAATGAGGCGAAAATATTGAAAATATAGGAGCATGTTGTTTCAACCCTGTTAGTGTAACAACAGGTCCGGGTACAACATGATGTTTAGACCTTAGAGATAATTGAGACCCTGAGACAGACGATCTCAACATCTGCAAGGCCCTGAGAATCTCCAAGTAGGGAGATTTATAATCATAAAAGCAGGACTCTTGACTGATGCACAATTCAGGCATCTCTCAACTAGTTTGGAGAACTCAGAAAAAAAAAAGGTTTTTGTCCATTATCCATATGTGTGGTCACAAGGGGGCTGGAGGCAATCTGAGCTGACATCGGTTGAGAGGCGGGATACACCCTAGAGTGTCACCTGTCAATCACAGGGCTGACATGTATAGACAAACAATCAGTAACACTCATATTCACACCTATGGAACATGAATAGTAGTTAGAGAGAACCCTACGTATGCATGGAGAGAACGAGCAACATACACGTTCTGTTGCACAACTTTATTTTCATTTTATTTTTTTAAGTGTATCTGATGATGTGGCAAGTGTTGAGAGAATTTTGGTAGATCTGTTTTCCAGGATGTGATGTTGAAACAGTGTAACATGACCTGGGTGTTCACACCGATGTGTTGCTTCATAGAGGTCTACAAGCTGCCATATCAAGAGTTGATCTGCAAATTCAACCGAAAGAATTGACTTAACCATCATTTCTGTTGTGCAATGTTTGGTCAAAGCAAATGTCAATATTATTTATACAAACTAAGCAATTAGGCAATACCTATTAAACACATGGCAGGACAGACAGGAGACTATTTATTCACAACACATGATCTGTCTCTATCAGCTGGTATTTACCATCAGTGTCACATGTTTCATAGTTTTACATCTACAGCTTTTAAAATGTATGAACCTTGAATTGTTTTAAAATACAAAGATAAGCTCACCTTTTGTTTCTGAGATAGGAGTGGACAAGGAGACGAGTGATGCACTAAACCGCCTGAACTTTCTGTCTTTTGTAGTATGCATTTTTTGTACTCAAATTTGCAATACAACTGTTAGAATCCAAACGGCATGAATTCCTAACTATCTGGAATTTACTCTGTAGCTAACGTTATAGGTAGTGGCTTAATGCTAACATTAGCTGTTGCCTAATGTAGCTAATGGGCTATTACATGTGTTGTTTTCCTTCAAATCAACCTGATGTCCCTACAGGTTCTGACTATCCCATGTCTTTAAGATGCTAATTAATCAAGATGCAGTACAATTATGTCTTATGTTTCTTATTATGTTAAGTAAAGCATTGTAACAGCAGAGCTCCTCGCCCTCTACCTGGTGTCCAGGAAAATAGCCCCCTTGTAAATATGAAAGTCGGATCAATGGAGACATTTCCACCACACAGACCTACACAAGATCGGACTTTTCCTGCCTAAAAGAAGCAAATTAGAAACTGGCTTACAATACAAAGTGCAAGTGCTCCAATTGTGTTGAGTTTTTCATTCGTTTCATTTTTTTTTGTCCCAGTCGACTGGAGGCAACACGTTCAGGTGACAGTTTCCAGGGTGTCGTTCCTCCAGCTCTTCTTTTATCTTCTTTTATCTTTTGTCTCCTCCCGCCTTTGATCTCTACTGCTGCGAAAATCAATCACAGACAGGACTGAGTGGAATAGAATCAAAATATTTTAAAGTATTGTTATCTACCTTTGGTTTTACTGAAAGCGTGCTGCACCTTCCTTTTTCTACATTAGTACCAGATTCACTCACAGCGCTTCATGTGTAGTTCAAACTGGCAATTTTTTAAATCCTAGACATGAAGACTGGCACTTACAATTAGACACTATTTTTTACAGATGGTTAGCTTTTGCAGAGACAGAGTTTCTTGCAGGGTCACCATTACACTCCAACAGTATATAGATCCTTTCCCATCATGCTCTTGGTGGAAATGTACGTAAATAAAATCACAATAGTTGGGCGCTGGTGGCACAGTGGTTGATGCGCGCGCCCCATGTATGGAGGTTGTGTTCCTCCAGGTGGGCCACCCGGGTTCAGATCCGACCTGTGGCTTCTTTCCCGCATGTCATTCCCCGCTCTCTCTCTACACGATTTCTGACTCTATCCACTGTCCTGTCTCTCCATTAAAGGCATGAAACGCCCAAAAATAAATCTCAATAGAGAAACCAAAACAGCTTTTGGCCACAGCTGTCTTGTGTGTACAGCAGTTTGTTATATGCAATGATTTAGACCAAACATTAGCTTTGCATTACCAGCATGCGGTTTCCACATGCCAAAAGTAGATGATCGCAGTACGGGACCATCTGAGGACATGATGACAGCAGCCCTCTCACATGTAACTCCCATGTTTACACTCTATATTTAGTTTGCAGCTTCCTTTAAGGTGCCCATGTATATATAAAGAATGATGTCATACTGTTTAAATCATGCCCTCTGGAGTTGAAATAATAAACAACACAATATAAAACCACTAACTGAAGGCTTTAAAAGGTTGTTACTAACGAAAACAAAGATGTCAGCACATCATGTGGTTATATATACCAGGAATTGTCTTATTTCCCCAACTTGTTTTAGCTGTTTTCACACATGCACTCCTGATTATTTCAGAGTCCAACACTATTATGACACGTTTTGCCTTTACATCCAAGTATATCAGTGCTACGTGTTCAAAGGGTATCAACAAGAGAGCGGAGAAGAACATTCTGGCAGTTTCATATTGTGTGCTCTGGGATTGGACCAGACACATGATGTACAGTCTGTGGTGCTGGATATAAAGGTCATCCCCCTCCCCACTCGCTCGCTGTTAACTTTCCTGACTAGTTTCTGCACAGTGGGCGCGCACTGTAGCTGTTCCCACTCAACGTTCTTGAAGCCAAAATACGCCGCTTAGGGGCGCTTCCATCTTGCGATTTTGACGTCATTTGGAGCCAGAGTCTGCGCAGTAGGGTCCGGGGGCAGGAGCCCTGGTAACACGCCCCGCCCACTTAGCGTACTGCCCTGATGACTTACGCAGCCCAGCTACGCCGAAAGCGCTCTGCCGGTCTACGATGAAGAAATGTGTAAGTACAACAAACCACTGTATTCAAAGTCTAATATTTAAACACACTGTTTTTAAAAATCCCGCTATTTTGATCAGTACTGAAAATACGTGGGCTGCTGGGTCCTCTGTTTTTAACGAAATCGTTCTATATTTAAGCTATATTTAAGCTAGGTTAGCACCACAGACCGTAGGCTACAGGTGGTAAGATATGTTGTATTTTGTTAGAAACTGATAGTCTGCAATGTGATTTTTGTATCTTCATTTAGGCAAAGAAGAGATAAAAGCAGCTGGTCTGACATCTTCCACAGAGGTGAAGTGTAAGTTAAAATCATCTGTTAAAAGTTATATATCCTGTGATTTTTATTTAAGTTTCATAAGAGGATTGTCAAAACAAGCTATTGTTAACAATACAGTCTTCTAAAAATAAAAATCACACTGAGTCATACACCAGCTAAATGTTAAATAGAAAGGTGATGTTTTCTTTTCCATTTTACAATCAACAGAACCTAAAAATGACTCATTTCAACCTTTGTCTGCACACCTGTTACAGAGGTCAGGCTGGGGTCACATAGTTTGAAGGAACCTCCTCCTTTTTTCACCTGTGCTTGGACTAAGAGCTGTGCCAGATGCCCTGCTCATCCACTGTGGTAGAAATGACCTTACACCAGCAGCTCTCCCAGATGAAGAGTCCTCTCTGCCATCACCCAGAGGAGCTGATCGACGTCTGAAGAAGGTGGACAGAGTCTGGTGCTTTGTGACAGTGAACAGTGAGAAGGCTACCATAGTCATCCTCAGATAAAACACAGAGATCCAGGTCAATATTTAATTTATTTTTCTTAACATGATGTTGCCCTGTGTTTGAAAGGCCAGATGCTGGAGGGTTGTGTTGGATTTGCTTTTCCATCATTTTAACAGTCAAACAATCATCCAGGATCTTATACTTTATTTGATTTTTTTGGATTCTTTGTTAAATTATTTTTTATACTTTCTCCTATGTCCCAGCAATTGGACCTGATGGTCTCCCTTACTTATTTTCCACATGGTTAATGAAGCCAGGGGTTGTTTATTGAAGATTTTTTTCATAAAATGTTTAAATAAACTTTTTAAAAATCTGATATGACTGTCTCTGATTAACTGGAGTACAACGTGTTGGTCACAGTAAATTAATTTAGCAGTTAAGTTTATAGCTCACATTTGAAAAGGCCTTGAATTGACATTCATTTCTTCTTAACCAACAACAGCTAAGACAACAACAAAGCTAACAGACGAGCTCAGCTTGTCACAGCCGGTCTCGTCTGAGATAAATGGCCTTCAAACTTATTTAATATTAAACATTTAAAGCCATTAAGCATAGCAAGATACGTATGAGATTCCATTTCCATTTATTCAATCACAGACTTGTCAAACAGTCTGGCATGTTGTGCTGCTGTTTTCAAGAGTTAATAACTGAAGAGAAGAAGACCATCGAGAGAGGACAGGAAACACTCAGGGGACGAGTCCTCCATGTTGCTGATGGATCTGAATCTGAGAGCATCTTCTGTAATAAAGAAAAACAATCATGGAGTTAAATGTAAAGTATAATGAATTTTACTGTGATGTTTATGCCTCAGACCTGAAATCAGATCTGTCCTGAGGTTCTGCTAAATTTCAGCTTCTAAAGTTTGTTTTTATGACAGACAAAATATATAATAAGACATGATGAATCAATAATATGATCAGCTTTATGAATTTATGTTTTAAGACAAAAGTGTTCCTGCCACTTTCTATTGAA